GATTTGAATTGAAACACAATACGAGCAACAACTCTTGTTTTCATTACAATGTTCTACAAAGATGTATATGATCAGAAGTTTGAGTAGAATCTTGTAGTGTTATTCTTCATCTTCTTGTTGAGAAAGTTTCGAGCAATAACTCTTTGCTTCTTCTAAGATCTACCAAGATGTATGTGATTGGAAGTTGAATAACATCGTGTAGTCTTCTTCTTCAATAAGCAAGCTTTGAGAAACAACTCCTTGCTTCTTCTATTTCATCCAAGATGTATATGATGATAGTTGAATTACATCTTGTTGAAATCATCTTTCTTTCTTTTGTCTCTTCTTTTGTGGTCTTCAGAATATGTAGCATTACAGCGTTAACATCTTCATCATCCACTTCTTTCCTTTCATAGGTGAAGCTCTTTTTAGCCAAATGCAACTTTCCTTTGAATCTTTGATCTTCTTGTATAGCCTTGACAGAGAGAGACGTTGAGAGTATAGAGAAGTATTTTCCTGCACCAACAGTTAGTTCCCAACGGATAGAATAAGGTGTAATAGTTTAGACAATATAAAATAATATTTTTTGTATCATGTCTGTGTTCAATGATAGCTTTTCACCTTTTCTCTGAATAATGTTTTTCTATTAAGCTTGTAAGCAAAGATTCGTTAAGTAAATAAAGATAGTTGTAAATCAAGTCATTTGTTCCCAACGGTCACAATGAGAATAGTTGACAATATAGTATAAAGGATTGTTCTTACGCCACCCTAGAGGATAGAGGTCACATAAACTTTAAGTACCTTTTGTAGAACATCACACGTTAATCATTTGAACTTTCTTCTTATCTTTAGAGGCTTTAAATATTTGAATGTTGAATGTTGAAGCTTGTTGTAGAAAAATCTTTCTTAAGTCTTAAAACCTAAGTCTTGGAGTCTTTGGAACTTGTCCTATCAGAACCTTGTCTTCAGAGTCTTTAGCACTTGGTTGAAAGAACTTGCTTTTCTTCAGATCATCAGAACTTGTTCAGTAGAACCCCGTCTTCATAATATTCAGAACTAGTAACACATAGAAGCAAAGCTTTAGAAGGCCTCCAAAGCTTAATCCTAAAGTCACGATCAGAACCTCTTGTACTAACGTTCCTTAGACACGTTGCAGAAGGTGGATTCCAGAATCTTGACTTCAACTGTAACACGTAATCACATGTTTTCTTCCAGTAGTGTATGTTCAGAACTTGATGACGTTATACACCTTGATATCAGAGTCAGAATATTATAGCAGCAACTACACACTAGAATGAAACCATTAGTATATACAATTATTCACTAAGATAACATGTAAAGTTATCATCAAAATCCTAAGGCCAGGTGTAGAAACACTTCTTGTTCTTACACAAATGCATATAGTCTTAGACAACCTTGGCCAAAGTTTGAACTCATGGTATCACACATGACTTGAATGAACACTTCCACGATAGCGAATCCACACCAATTCAATTCTTTGATCCTCATCAATCTTGCATTACAAGTACAATAAGAGAACCACACGACTTGATCTCAATAAATTCACAACAGCATCCTTATATCATGTCTCAACACTTCGTGCAATGTCAACCTCAAAGACGATCTCAACTTGATAATCAATGATATTAATATGAACGCCTTGAATGATTTTTGAAGATGTGCAAGATTTGACATAAAACCCCAACCAATCTTCCACTGATAATCATCAACAAAACCACACACAAAAGATAAGAGAACCTAATCATACAGTAAACCATGTGGTGATCTTGTTCAAGACCTTAATCTAACTGATAAGTATATGAGAACGCGTCCAATAATTACCAAGGAATCATCATCCTTGGATTCACACCTTTGCAAAGAAATCCAAGAAATAATGATGACAGACATAAGAAAATGACGAATGCCTGAACTTACAACCTTGTATCTCAATGAAGAAGGATAATAAGCCTTGTAGCCTCAAAACTTAGAAGAAAGTACTAGTTCGCACAATCACTGATCTTTTGAGTCCCGGGTGCTTTATTGAATGAAATGTATTTTATTTTAATGAAACGATGCAAATGCAATGCAAAAGCCTAAACTAGATAAAATCAAAGCTAGGATGATAAATTTTAGAGTGCAACAATTGTTTTAAAGAGTATTTTAGGGTGGCTATCATTACCTTTTATTGAGGAGGAGGATCTTGTGAATTATCGGAGAAAATTTGAAAATTTGATGAATGACAAAGTATTACAAGATAAGGTATTATTATGGTTTGCAACATTGTGGTATTTGTAGTCTAAGAGGAATAGAATTCTTTTTGAAGGAGATTTTTGTGTCCTTGCTATAGATGATTTAGTTATCGATGTCAAGTTTGTTTCGTGAATTTGGTTTGTGATAAAAGTTAAAGATAAAACTCAGAAATTTTTATGAATGGTGGAACAATACTTTGATTTTATTGAATATAATCTAGATGTTGTATATGGATTTTGAGTAGCTCTTGTACTCTGAATACATATCATCGCTTTTTTTTTTTTAACCAAAGAAATATATTAATTCAAAAAGCAATACAACCAAGGCAATTCAAAAAGGATTCAGCCAACAAAAGCAACAAAACTATATCAGAAATCTAGCAATGTGTGGCCTAAACTTCCTATTTCTCCATCCTCTATACACTATACAGTCAATAATTTTTTCCACTATATTTTTCCTATTTGTATTACTTTCAAAAATGACAGAATTCCTGAAAAAAACAAAGATACATATTATTCAAAAACTTGAAAAGAAAATATTTAATAGATTAGCATTAATAATAGTACTAGTACTATTCAAGAGAGAGTCGGTAATTACAATTTTTTAAAATTAAGAAGCAAGCTACCGACCAAACAAAATTGAAGTTGTTTGTGTATGAACTCCAATAAAGTAAACCCTTTAGTTGACAATGACTTTCATTTTGTCGCATTGAGGAATATTGTCAAGACATAAACAGCTAATTTACTAAGGACAAATAACAATAAGACACAAAATAATATGCACAAGAAAGGTTTTCAATAAAGCTTAAATCCAAAAATTAATAATAACAACCATAAAACATGTCCTCTATCTATCTAATCTATCTATGCAACAAAAAAAAGTCAATAAAAGACAAGGTTCCATGTCCCTGTCTAAGCTTAGCTGTTTCTACACTTAAAACACTTTAAAGCAATCCCAACATGTGTTAATATTTTTAATAGGATTTCATTTTTGGTTCCCAAAAGTGGTCCCTAATAAAGAATACATCCAAAACTCCAACCACTAGAAAGAAAAAAAATGTAAATAAAGGGTTCTTGCCTTTCAAAAGAATGCCAAATTCCTGTTTTTGATGTTTAGCAAAACTCCAAACATAACCTGATTGAATAGGCAATTGGAAAGATGACAAGAATTGATCAGATTGATGTTGAAAGATGGTGAAATTTATGATTCAATCATTCTTGCCATGAAATCATTTCATTTCATGTTCTTTTTTGGTGGATGGGGTTTACTAGTAGTTCCATTCGCTCCAACAAGGTTCAATTATATGTTAACTTCAATTATCTTTAATCATATGTAAATTTATAGTTAATTGATTTTTTTTTAAAAATAAATATCTTCTATATATAATTTTAAACACTAAACTCTCGAATCGGAAAGCGACAAAGTTTTATTGAGAGAATTTAATGTTATTATGTGTCAAAGACTAAATTCGAATAAATAACATTTTATTAAATTGAAATAACATCTCATCTAAATATTTTTAAATTGTCAAAATTTTAATCAAATTTATAATTAACTAATTTTTTTAATAGATGATTATCTTTTGGGCGTAATGATTATAAAATATTTAAATTGTGTTAGCTACTTAAAAAATTGTCTAAATTTAAATCTACAAAAGAAATTAGAGGAATCTTACTTTTATTTTTTTAATGTAACTAGAATGAAAAGAAGGGTGGTAAACCAGAGAATAAAGTAAATTCTTCATCTTTTTTACCACTAGTGCACTAGTACAACCTTTTACTTCTATTATATACATTTTCTGATGATTCAGATGCTAAAGATGATATAGGCATGCTTTATATTTTGGAAGGTCCTAACGACAAAAATTAAAAAGAGTGACACTTTTAGAATAGTAAGGAAAAAACAAAAGGTTAAAGTTTTTCTACTTTTTTAGTCAAATGGACAAGTCATTCCAAAATTTACTTATTTCACCTTGTCCTATATCATAGGCCTCCTTCCATAAATCCTTTTCATTTTATTGTTCAACTTTTGTTGTTTTAGACTTTCACTCCACCTCTATTAGCTCCTTAAATTAATGGTCATAATTTTAACTTAAGTTTTATAAATCAATTCATTCAAAATCAATTTTTTTTAATCGCAAAATCAATTCACTCGTGTCGCATAATCAAACTGCTTTAATAGAACTATTAACGAAAATATATTAACCCATGTGTTTTAGAGTTTTAATGTTCCTTAATCATGAAATACAAAAAAGTAACCCCACGCCCAACTTTTTCCACAATTATCATGATACAAATATAACAAAATCCAAGAAATTAAAACCGTGGAGTTGGAACTATAGCATAATATAACAGATACAATCAAGACATTGGCTTTCTATTAAAAGAAGAATCCAATCCAACTAAAAAACAAAAGCAAACATCCAACACAAACTATATAAACTATATATTTATAAATATCATACATTCATAATAGGTTGGAATATTCTCCATGTAATAACATTCACTAATTAGTACTACAAGAGGAAAATACAATCCCCAAATACAAAACCATCAACCAATACCTAATTTTCAACCTCATCCCATAAAATGGCCACCATAGATGTTATAATAATAGTTAGTAATAGTAATGCTTCATAATTTCTATAAGTACACACCATTACACTACTAAGTAATAAAAAAAGTACAAACACTAGAACAAAAAAAACAAAATAACCGAAATGAAAAATTTAGAAGGTTTTGTTAAGTAAGGGTAAAGGTTTAGTAATAGTATTAACAATTAGGATTAACAAAGTTCTTGATTTCCTCCATAAGGACATAGAAATGATCATTATTAGGCAAGAAGTAAAATCCAATAGTAGCCTCCTTAAGGAATAGAAGTTTAACCTGTTGAGCAAAACTCCTCAAACCTTCCACATAAGCCAATTGCCAATCTTGTAAAAGATCCAAACCAGCAACACAAACAAGAGTTTTAGGAAAATTATCAAGTCCTTTTAGATTTTTTACCCCTTTAGGACCAAACGGGTTACAAGCAGGGTGATCTCTATCTTCACCTTCTGGTAAAAAAGCTCTCCAATACCAATCACGGTCTTGCAATCTAACAAAGTACTTTCCATCTAATCTAACCTCAGATTCTGTTCTCTTTTCACCACCAAACAATGGATGAAGAAGAATGTTCCCTAAAACATGGATTTTTTCCTCAGAAGCTTTAACCGCTACATGATGAACAATGTTCCCACCTGAACTATCACCCGCCATGTAAACATAAATTTTTTTGTCTTTCCCACTTCGAAGCCATTTTCTTGATTTCACCCATTTGAGTGCATTCCAACCATCCTCATAACAACATGGAAACCGATGCTCCGGCGATCTTCGGTAATTAACCGAAACAACCGCGGCTTTACAAAGGCTCACCAGCCTTCTACAAAACGTGTCGTAGATAGCACTGTTTGGAGATGAATGAGAAAAGCTTCCTCCATGAAAGAATATTATAACAGGTACAATTTCCGTTGAACTCAATGGTTTCTCCAAATCTATGACACCCCATTCAGATTCATTCACCCAAGACGGTAGATAAACTCGGTTGAATAGACCACTGTTTTGATCTACATGATCAAACGAAAACACCCCGTCAACCGGAATCGCGTTTGCCGACACTTTTCTGTCCAGAAACTCTGCTAAGTCTCGGTTGAACGTCCCATCTGCTCGCCGCAGAAGATTGTAAGCAAGCTTGAAATTTGAAATGAGCACATACGTATTCAAAGGAACAACACTCTGCAAAAACATAAAAACAAAATTCAGATTTTTTTTCTATAAATCATGTTAGAAAAAAAAAAAAAAGGAGAATATAAAAAAGTTTATGTTCTTTATCACAAATATTATTACCCTGGATTCACTAGGGTTGATTTGATTAGTACCAGTCATGTCTAAAGAGAAAAATGGAGGAAGATGAAGAAGAGAAACATAGATAGAGAGAAAGAAGAAAGAGTGAGAGAGTTTATGATGGTGGGGAGTGTGTGTAATAAATGAAGATTGAGTAAAGAAGAAGAAGTGTACAGGACTGTATATGAAACAAAAGAGAATAGAGCTAGATTAGCTTATTAGTAGGTAGGTTAGAGAGAGAGAGAGAGAGTCAAATGACGAAGACGATAGACACGACAAACTGGGCGGCCGAATTTAACTGTTTATATGGGTCCCGCTATTTATTCTTTATTTTTACATAAAAATGTGGAAAGTAGTTTGTTTATTTATTGAAGAAATATGAATGATTTATTAACACTTTACTCGATGAAAATAAGTGACATGAATTAATTTATGAATCGTTTTTACACCAATGTATTAAAAATTTAATTGAACTGCTCAGTTGAATCAATTGGATTTTGAATTATTTTCTAATTTGATTTGGTTTAGATTAATAAATAGTTACATTTAAAAAATTGGAATAAAATTGTTTTAACTGCAAAAAAATCAAAATAATTATAAAATTGGAACCGGTTTTGGTTAATTAAACAGTTCAAAAAATAAAATTAATTTTTTATGTTTTATTTCATTTTATTTTTTGTTTAAATTTTAAAAAAAAATTATAATAAATATTTAAAATTATGTAAATGGAAAATAAATAATAAAATTGAAAGAAATGAGACAATATAAATACAAATAAAAAGATTTGATGATCTTGGAAGAGATGTTAAAAAATATACCGATGAAGAACGTATCTGGAGTTTTGAGTTAACAATTATGATAAATATATAAATATTAGTTCTTAATTAATTTTATGATTTGTTATTGGATCTTACATTGCATTTTTTTAAAGTATTTATTAGTATCATATTTATTTGAGAATTTTATTTTATAAATTATGATATAAATTAATTTTATTAAAATGTCATTAAGGCACATGTCATTAAGAATTTCTCTAATTTGAATTTTACTTAAATATTTATTTGTGTGATTAATTTTTATAAGGGTCATATTAACATATGTCATTAAGGCATATGTTAAGGATATTATAATTAAAAAAATTTAAATATAATAAAATTATATTTAAAATTTTAAATTATTAAATACATATTTTCTAAATAAATATTTCTATAAATAATTTTTTAATTTATACCCTTGAAACACATGTTAGTTTTCTTTTTTTATAAAGTGTTAAATAGATTATCTTTTAATTAAAAAATTAAATTATAAAAAAAAATAATGCTAACTTGTGTCTAAAGGTGAAAATAAGTTAAACTAAGTTAGATTTTAGAAAATCTGAGTCTGACCTATGATAAATTTAAAAGACTTGAATATGACCTATAACTTATTAGAAAATAGATTTTATATATATATATATATATATATATATATATATATATATATAAAAGTTCACATATTTAATATATTTTTAATATATATAAAAATATAGGTTAATTTATCAGATTTTATAGAAACATTTAATAATTTAAATCTGACATATTTAATTAAATAAACTTTTAAAATAGTTTAAATATGATTTTTTTTATAATATAAATTTGGTCTAACATAACCTTAAATAAGTTAGATAAATTAGGTTGTAAATTTCTGTAAGTCGGTTTGATATTTTCACGCCTTATTTGTACCTTACATACACTTATTATAAAACTTACAAATAATAAATTTATGTTGAAAAAGGAATGAAAAAATTAATTATCAATTCTGCATAATTAAAATATAAAAAAATTATATTTAACTTTTAACATGTTTGATAAAGGAACATGTTAGCATTATCTTAATAAAAAATTATTTAACTCTAATAAAAATTAAATATAATTAAAAATATTTACAAAATTATCATTATTAAGTTATGGCAAGATGTTATTATTAGATAAGTATTATTTAGTTTAGTTGTTTTTAAATGCAGAGAGTTGATAAGTTAATTGTTTGTGGTTTAGATTACACTGAATGATTAATAGGATAGGGAATAAAATTTGTTATATTTTAATAAAATCATAATAGTTGAATTGATGGATGAATATGAAATGACAAGAATTTTTTTATTACAAGAGTGTGTGTAAGATAAGTAAAAGATAAGTAAAATTAATTATTTTTGTCACGTCTTCAACCTCAAGTGTTCGAGGTGTTTGAAGTATAAGATTTCAAAAATATATTTTTTTTGACAATATATTAGAATACTATCTATATATAGTCTTTTTATTGCTGTATATAAGTGAAAAGCTTAGATAGAATTAATAGATTCTTATCTGTAATATTTCTGTTTCATTGGATAACAGAATTCTGTTTCATTGGATAACTGAATTCTTGGCTCTTTCTTTCATCTCTTTCCATGAGCATTTCTTGGATGTCCATGGCTTCTTCACCTTGCTGGTGTGTTCCCATGGCCATTATTCACATGGTATCAGAGCTCATATAGCTCTGGTAGCCATCTTTTCTTGCTTCTCCGTGATTCTCTTCTTTCCCTTTTTTTTCTCCTTTGAATCACGTTTCTTTCTCTTCTCTTCATTCATGGCGAACCAGAGCTACGCCGACTATACTACCAATTCTGCAAATCCGTTTTACCTCCATCCAAACGAGAATCCTTCACTCGTTCTTGTTTCACCTCTTCTCACGGACAAAAATTACCATACCTGGGCGCGATCAATGCAGATCGCTCTGATTTTCAAGAACAAGGAGAAGTTCATCGACGGTACTTTTCCCAAGCCACCAGTATCCGATCCTCTGTACTCACCATGGATTCGATGTAATACGATGGTTCTTGCGTGGATTCAACGATCGATTTCAGAGCAAATTGCTAAATCAGTGTTATGGATTGATAATGCCTCTGGTGTGTGGAAGAACTTGCAGATTAGGTTTTCACAAGGCGATATTTTCCGCATTTCTGACATCCAAGAAGATCTCTACAAATTCAAACAAGGTACTCTTGACGTCTCAAACTATTTTACTCAATTGAAGGTTATGTGGGACGAATTAGAGAATTACAGACCTATTCCATCTTGTAGCTGTGATATTGCCTGTTCTTGTGGTGCCATTGCATCCATTAGATTGTATAGAGAACAGGATTATGTCATACGATTTCTGAAAGGTTTAACTGAAAAATTTGCTCACTCTAAGTCTCAGATAATGATGATGCATCCCCTTCCTAGCATAGACAAAGCCTTTTCCCTAGTTATTCAATAGGAGCGTGAAATTGACAGTTCAGTGTATAGTGTTATACCCTCCATTGCTGCCAATGAGCAGGCTACAGCCTTGCAAACTCAAACTCATGAGGCTAATTTCACTGCTAAGCAAGGAGGTTTCCACAATTATCGTGGCAAGCCTCAAGCCTCTCAAGGATCTAATACACCTAGGGGAACTAATAGGGTCTGTGTTCATTGTGGGAGAACAAATCATACCATTGAGACATGCTTCCTTAAGCATGGTTATCCACCAGGTTACAATAGTTATAAAGGAAAGAGTAAATCTCAGGGTGCTGCACACACAAATTCATCTGCTGCAAATGTGAGCAATGGCAGCAATAGCACTGAATTTTCTTCTCAAGGCTCAGCTACTTCTTCATTTGGATTTACTAAGGAGCAGTATGATAGCATTCTTGCTTTGCTTCAACATTCCAAACAACCATCCACTGTCAATTCTGTATCTACCTCTCCTTTAGCTTTGCAATCCACTTCTTCCAATGTGAATGGTAAGCACTCTGATCTTTGGATCCTGGATACAGGGGCCACTGATCATTTCTCTTTCAATTTTGCTTCCTTCACTGATCATAAATACATTGTTCCCATACCTGTGAATCTGCCTAATGGATCTCAAATATTTGCTTCTATTTCTGGCACAGTAGCTATCTCACCTTCCTTTATTCTGAAAAATGTTCTTTATGTCCCTAGCTTTCATGTTAACCTAATTTCTGTGGCTAAACTTGTTGAGCACAACCAATTCACTGTCCAATTTACTCATAATTCTTGTACTATTGTGCAGAATCATTCCAAGGAAATGATTGGTATAGCTAAGCTACACAGGGGGCTCTATACTCTTGATTCTACAGATTTCAATTCATTTGTAAATAATTCTTCTGTTTCTCATAATTCTCCTTGTAATCTGTGGCATATGAGATTAGGCCACATCTATAAGATAGGTTTACATAGTATTGCTAAGGCTTTTCCATTCATCACTTGTAATAATGACAATGTACCTTGTGATTCTTGCCAATTTGCTAAGTAAAAGAAGCTTCCTTTTCCACAAAGCATATCTAATTCTACTGTTCCTTTTAACATTTTACATGCTGATTTGTGGGGCCCTTTTTCTACTGTCTCTGCCTTAGGACATAAATATTTTTTTACTCTTGTTGATGACTTTACCAGACATACATGGGTCATTTTTCTCAAAAGCAAAGATCAAACAAAATCTAGCCTCATTAACTTTGTAGCTTACATAGAAAACCAGTTTCAGACCACTTTAAAATGCCTAAGATCAGATAATGGGACTGAATTTGTTGTTTTATCTGATTTTTTTCTTGCCAAGGGTATCCTTCATCAAAGAACATGTGTAGAGACCCCTCAACAGAATGGTGTGGTGGAGAGGAAACACCAACACATTCTGAATGTTGCTAGATCTATTTTCTTCCACTTCAATGTTCCTTTGAACATATGGAATTTCTGTATCCAACATGCTGTCCATCTAATAAACAGGCTTCCCACCCCTCTTCTTAAGTTCAAATGTCCTTATGAAGTCTTATTCAAACAACCACCTTCCATGATGCATCTCAAAGTTTTTGGATGCCTCTCTTATGCTACCTCTCTTCAAGCTCATAGAACAAAATTTAACCCTAGAGCTAGAAAAGTTGTTTTTCTTGGCTACAAAGAAGGAACAAAAGGTTATATCCTATATGACTTGGCCAATCACAATTTCTTCATTTCAAGAAATGTGGTTTTCTATGAAAATGTTTTTCC